TCCTGCTGCACCTAATGCCAGCACGTTCATTGTATCAGTAAGATGTATATACTATATAGCTGTACTCAAAAAAACAAATATTCCAGTGCTTTATTAGTAACTTATGTTACTTAAATTCCAGTACAAACTTGTAAAGGAATTTTTCCTGAGGGAAAAATATAATTAGTTTTAAGGTTTTCCAGAATATTAGAGGTTTTTTTTTTTTTAAAGTATGTCAGACATACAGAATTGTATACATCTATATTTATGTGCTCCAAGAGATTTTCAACAAGTCCATATAAAAAACCCTTTTTTTGTTTTAGAGGATGCCTATTTATCATACATTTTCTTGTCCACTAACAGCATCTATCCAGACGCAAGACCATGTTAGAATTATTTCAGTAACGCATTAATCATAGTTGATGAAAGACTTTAGGCAAGTATTCAGTTTTAATAAAAACTCTTGAAAGTTATTATCCACATAAAGAAATATCTTGGAAAGTTTCACCCCAAAACCAAAACAGAAACCCAATAATTAATAAAGAAATTATACCGTTTTAAGTTTTAAGTAACACTGAACAGATGGCTTAATCTAAGAGTCTCCATAGGCCAAAAATAGCAGATAAAAAACTTAGGAGAAAAGGGTGGGTGATAGGAAAGTCCACAGTACCAGGATTTGAACATATTACTTAGCAGGGCTACTGTAAAATAAATTGAATGGTGGAAAGGATGAGGAGTTTGTTTCTTGTCCTGGGATACAAGAGGGGTAAGAGTGGCATTTTTATAACATTTATCAAAGCATCTAATTTACCTTTAAATACTTTACAAGTTTCTGAATTTGCCAATATTCTGATGGTAAATCAGTGTTTCCTTCCTGGCGACGTTGAGGCTGTTCTTCATCGTCCTCAGTCTCTGAGGAACTTTCACTAACTTCTTCATACTTTTCCAATGTTTTGCTAAAAATAAATAAAGAGCATCACTCCCTTTACCAAATATAAACTAGTAGGAACAAGTAAATCTAAAACTGATACGATATCATCTCCTAATAACAGCATTAGAAAAAAACTGGTAATTATCATTACTAAATACTGTGTATGGTGACAATTACTGTAAGTATTGAAAATGAAAGAAATTGAAGCAAAAATTAAAAAAAAAGCATACCATTTTGAAGCTGGTTGAATTTTAGCAGATTCAGGAGAAATGGTAGTTGTTTTCTTTTTGATTTTTTGAGATACAATACCTCTCCTCCTTTCTTCTTCAGTATCTTTTTTTGTAGCTTTGTCACTAAAATATTTGCTAAAAAAAAAAAAGTTATTCTATATATATAGTCAAACTGTTATGGTTGGACACACATTGTATCAGTATGTAAGAGCTTATGAACCCGAACAATGAACTTCATTAAAAAGAAACTATGCTGTGTCTTAAGTGACTGATTTTGCTATACTAAAATTAGTGAGATATTAGAAAATATATATTATGCTGACCCGTATGTAATACAAGAACAAAGAATGAATATATGAGGTCAGATTGTCACAGGTCCATCTATCCTTGGATACCATTTCCAATCATGACCAATAGCAGCTATCTAGGGAAGAGTATAAGAACAATGGAAGAATACAATAATTTTTCTTCCAGAATATTCTTCAAGAAATTTTGGTCCAGAGAATTCCTGAGTGTCCTTGCAATACCAGTTTTAGATGGATTTTTCTTCCCTGAATTTGTACAGTTGTTTTTTGAACTCACATAAGCTAGTGACCTTTGCCATCCTGTGATAAAGAATTTTAGAACTTAATTATGTGTTGTGTGAAGAAGTATGTCCCTTTTTTCTGAACTTTCCTCATCCGCTCTTTTCATTTGATTCACCTTGTTCTTGTATTACAAGAGACAGTGAACAACTGCTCCCTATTCAGCTTCTCCACTCATTGTCTCAGTCTCTGTTTTATCTTCCCCTAGTCATCTTTTTCCAAGCAAAAGAGTTCGAGTCTGTCCACTGAGCTGCTCCATAGTTTTCACCCTGCTCTCTTCAAATTCCAAGAGGACTCCCAGGCCTAGCTGGGCACAATCTCTGGTGCTGTCTTGTCCCTAAGTTACAATGTTGTGAAAATTAAATGTTGTTTTGAGCCTGGGCTGGTCATACTAATCCCAGCCACAACAGTAAAAGAGAAGAATACTCATGATTTGTGTGAGAGTATGGTTAGACCCAATTTCACTACATCTAGGCTCTAACAACGTCCTGGAAGAAGAAAGGCTCTTGTCCCTGGGTAACCACATTTTCGTATCTGATGACTCTAGGTTACATCCAAAAACTCCTAAAATATCTCTTGCAATGTGCCGAAATCCTAAGCTTGTGAGGATATTGACTTCTTTCTTCTGTTGGATGACCACCAAAACCTTTCTCCTTCTTCCTCCATTGACACTTGAAACTGAACAAGATTTGGATTTCAGAAGAGAAATCCATTAATATCTAATAAGTGTAAACTCTATTTTTGGTGTCAAAGGTTGAGATAGCCTCATTAGTGAACACTGTTGCTGGGCAGAGCTAGAAAAGTGGCTCACAAGACTCGGAAATACTAACAATTGGTGTAATAAGAGTCACCCTGCTTTTCCAATCATGGATCTCTTTTGCCTTCCTCAGAAAGTGTTGTTTAGATATGATTGTCTACCTTCTGTTACTTTAAAGGCCACTTTATTTTAAAAATATGATAATAAAACTG